TGTCAAAATCAAAACACGATAAAAAAATCTAATCAAAACACAATTTAAAAATTCACAAATCCAATTCGTAAATTCAAAAATACACAAATCCAATTTGTAAATTCAAAACACGATTAAAAAATACACAAATCCAATGCGTAAATTCAAAACACAATTCATAAATACCCAAATCCAATTCATAAATTTAAAACACAATTCATAAATACACAAATCCAATTTGAAAATCAAAACACGATTAAAAAAATACACAAATCCAATTCGTAAGATCAAAACACGATTCATAAATACACATTCAATGTGTAAATTCAAGACACAATTCAAAAACACACAAATCCAGTTTGTAAATTTAAAACACGATTCATAAATACACAAATCCAATTCGTAATTTAAACAGACAATTAAAAATAACACTACCAATTTGTAAACTCAAAATACGGTTCACAAATACACAAATCCAATTTGTAAAATGTAAATACGATTGATAAAAACACAAATCCAATTCATAAATTCAAACACTATTCATAAATTCAAAACTTAATTAAAAAAATACACAAATCCAGTTCCTAAATTCGAAACAAGATTCATAAATACACATCCAATTCGTAAGTATAAAACGAGATTCATAAATAAACAAATCCAATTTATAAGTTTAAAATGAGATTCATTAATAAACAAATCCAATTCGTAAGTTTAAAACGAGATTCATTAATAAACAAATCCAATTTGTAAGTTCAAAACACAATTTAAAAACAAGCTAATACAATGCCTGAAGTCAAAACACAATTTAAAAATACACAAATCCAATTCGTAAGTTCAAAACACGAATCATAAATACACAAATCCGATTGATTTGTCGAAATTTTTTATGATTTTTAATTATGTCTTGCAATTTTTACTCGAATTGTGTGTTTACAAATTTACGAATTGGATTTTGTAAATGTAAACTTTGCTGTGCATGCATGAATTTGAGACAGTATAATTTGAATGTATGATGAATGTATTTTTTGTGACAGATCTGGCTCCACAGATACTGTTGCCTTAAAAAATGAAACAAAAAACAAACATAGCATAGGAAAGGTATAAAAGAAAATTTTAGGGGTTTTAAAAGCTTGGCTTTTCCAAACCACAGTAAAACATCATCCCAAGCCCACATATGATTATGCATCTCCACTGCAGCACTAGTGGCCATGTCACAATCTGTTCCATTAAAGGCGAAATCATCCCTCTATGTCCTCTCATCCAGACATAATGAAGCTCTCTGAAATCTTGTGTGGCTTTTACTGATGGCTGCATTGGGCACATCTAGCAGTGACGGTCACTAGAGGCGATTCACATGTCTTTTTTTCCCTGTACACATGCCTTATGGAGTGTTTGCTCTGTGGGTTTGTTTTAGAACAGTTGCTAATGCTTGGAGCTAGCTGTCAGCATACCAGATAATGTGTTCAGTGAATAAGACAAGCCTGTGAGGTCATTCTGAGCACTGCCAGTTGGTTTCCAATGTAACAAATGGGTGTGAACTGTTTTTTTGTGTGTGTGTGGGGGGCGTCATGTGCAAAATACATCTCTTGCCAATTGCATATTGTAATTGCTAATTAGAACCGTGATTTGACTAGAGAGTCTCTTAGGCCAAGAACAAATGCAGGCATAAATGCTTGGCAGACGCATTACATATGTACAAATTAATAGTAGATGGATAATTCGCATACAAATTTGCACTATTTTTGCAGATGCAATGGTCAAGGGGAGTATTTTTATGGGAATGAATTAGAGATGTGGCAAAAAAGTCTTTGACATTAATTCTGCATCAATTCTGAGATTTTCAAAGTGCATAAATGATTCTGAGTCTAGTTTTCAACAGCAGATGGCGCTCTTGGCTAGTTTTTAACAGCAGATGGTGCTCTAGGCATTTTTTTTAACAGCAGATGGTGCTCTAGGCTAGTTTTTAACAACAGATGGCGCTCTAGGCTAGTTTTTAACAACAGATGGCGCTCTAGGCTAGTTTTTAACTGCAGATGGCGCTCTAGGCTAGTTTTTAACTGCAGATGGTGCTCTAGACTAGTTTTTAACAGAAAATGGCGCTCTAGGCAAGTTTTTAACATGAGACTGTGCTCTAGGCTAGTGTTTAACCATGCATTCAAATGGCCAATAGTAAGAGCGCTTGATATCAACCCAGTTAGCTTTTATGTCATGAGATTAATGTAACAGCTCACTATGAACACTTGCTTAAATTTGCTTTTTAACTTTTATTTATGTTTATTTTAAAGGGCACCTATAATTAAAGTCATCTTTTGTAAGCTGTTTGGACAGGACTGTGTGTCGGTATAGTGTGTCCACAGCCGTATTGGAGTAATATAGAGACACTAAGTCTCTTTTTTTTTTAAATTTCCTGATGTTAAAATAGGATCCAAATTCCATCCATTTTAAGGCTGACCGCAACGTCACGTAGGAGTGCCGTTTCCCTGCACACCGAATTGTTTGACAGCCGAGTATTAAAGGGCCACGAGACCTTTTGTTTCTGCAGGGTGTTTTCACACCTCCAGTTTGGAGAAAGCCAGGAAAGAGGGCGTGTCCAGATTTGTTTAGGGGGGAGTGTTGGAGGAAGATGCAAAAAATTTTGCATAAAAATGGGAGTTTCGATTTAGGCACGCGCTGGTTTTCACAGATGCAAAACAACACAGACGGGCAGAAAAACAGTGAATGAGTTTACATGGACATCAGTAATCGAATTATTTGCCAAATTATTAAATGGTGGACTTTAACTGCAGTTTGGCTCTTTCATTCAGGAATTTCATTCATGCCCCTCGTGACAAACGAGATGTTTGATTCGAGGAACTGCTGGAAGCGTGTATTTTTAATGCAATGTTCGATACCGCACTGCGAATGAGAGAAAAAAACCCTCCGCATTTTACTGAAACTTAGATGCACTCGGCAGGTAGCTTCAGAAAGCCGTGTGTTATTCCTTTCACGAAATGCGGCGAAAATCCTACACAACGGTAATATTTTGATTGCTGTGTTTACATGTTTACACTCTGAGAGCAGCATTTACCGCAGATCTTTCAGTCCATAATATTGTAGTGATATTAATGTACTGTAAACTTTAGTAACTTAGAAATAATTTTGACTTAGGTCTGTCTTTGAACACTGAAAGAGTACTGCTGACGATACGAACTAACTTTGCCATCTGAATAAACAAAGACCACTGATCGCTTGCTTACCAAATCTGTAGAGACAGGACAATCAACACCAACTGGAGCCGCATCTTTTTTAAAAGGAGATGAGCGGCAAATCTGGATTTTACCATTTCCAGATGCAAAAAGTTCTCGGGTAAAAAAAAAATCTTCCTTAGACACGTATTTTTGTTGTGCGTCGCATGCACTGTAATCCACACGTGAGTTCAGCTGCACTCTCATAGCGGGAAAATAATAACAAAATCTTTGTTGCAGCAAATTATAAATGCAGCACTGACAACCCGTGTCTCCAAATTCTTTTTCTCCCACTTGTTTTGGCAACACAATGTGGCGTCTCTCTGCCGTCTGAACACCGTAACAGATAAAAACAGTCTTCAAAGCTATCATGTATGTTAATGAAGTTGCACCAGATACACAATATGGTGTCTAATATAGGGTCTAATGGTTTGACCCTAGGGACGTCACAAAGTGCTTCCAGGTACAGACAGCTTGAATACACACAAAGATCTAACTACCGTGACGCAGCTTCAAAAATTGCTTTCAAACCGGAAGAACGAATTTGCTCTAAATAACGCAAAAACAACCAATTTTTACTTTTAAGTGAAATATATTTTAATAGTGTATAGAAATATGTTTCCTAATAGTGTGTTTTTAGCAGCGTGGGACACAGATATGACTATTAGCAGCTTAAAAAAATGTGTTTTGGTGTTTGTGACCCTTTAACATGTCTTTAAAGTAATGCGTATAATCATATCGACAAGACAGGATGTGTGCAAAGCAACTGTAATTAAAAGATCTGTTCAGCTCTCTGTGATCATCAATCGTCATCAAATGTGATCAAGAGTGAACTTTACAAGTTTAAACATTTTTAAAACGGTGCATGTTTGTAATGAATTACAGCGATTTTACCGTCTTCATCACCACAGCCGCATGTCAGTACAATTATAAAAGACGATGCTTCAATCCCAGTTCATGGACGTTATATCTGGTTTATTTTGTACATTAATATAACGGATATCCACACAACAGTGGTGTCACATTTGCGTGCAAAAAACGGCACACTGTCTGTGGGAACTTTGTAAAGAAATTATGTGTGATTCATTGTTGCAACTCTACAACAAATACATCAAATAATAATCATTGAAAAAGTTCTTACTGTATTATTTCTCACAAACGTTACGTGAGATCTGCTTCCTTGATTCCCATCACTGTGTTGTTTATCTAACACAGTCGAGGTGGAGATTGATGCACACTCTGACAGGCATGTAGGAACGGTGGGCCGGGAGTACTAGCATTAAAGTAACAGGCAAGAAAAGCAGCTACATTGTGTTCAAAGCAGAAAATTCTAATGTTCTGAAAGCTATAATAAATAATCTGATGGGTGCTTTGAGCTGAAACTTTACAGACACACTTTGGAGACAGAAAAGACATTTCTTAAATCTTGAAAAAGTTTGGATTGAAGTATAACTGTTTGTAAAGCCTAGAGCGCCATCTGCTGTTAAAAACTAAGCCCAGAATCAATGCAGAATCAATTTCCTGAATATTGTTTTGCCACAGCTCTAGAATGCATAGATATAAGTGTCTGTGCTCACTTTCTTGTGTGCAGTACTCTGTTTTAAGCTTTCCATCTTTTTTTTTGATAAAGATCGATCCATCTTCAGAATAATAATAAAAACAATCTTTCATATTCATTTTAGATCAAAGCAAATGATCCAGATTTTCTTTACCACCAGTCATATCAGATAACCCAGTAATGTCTTTGAAAAACTTGCTTTTGTGCAAATAACTGACACTTGCTTTCTGTTCTTACAGATTGGCATGCAGCATCTTCAGGAGAGTACAGCGCACTGTGGCCAATTCATGAATCTCAGCTAGAAGAATGACTGGAGGATGACGTCTCAAAGGAAAATGCGGATCAGCCATGCCTTCTTTGCTGATCTCCATCAAGAGCCCTCATTTTATACTGCTGTCTGGGACTCTCCCTCATCTCTTGGATAGTTTCAATTTGAACAAATATTATATAGCACGGAAAACCATATAATTTAAGGACAATATCATTTTGTGACGAGAAAGATGAAATTTCCTTTTATCCAAAGTCCCAGTTAAAACTAAAACACATACATCAAGAACTCCAAAAAGGGGTAAAATTTAAGATGTGTACAGTACAGATGAGGTTGCATTATGGCAGCTGAATCTCCTAAACAGCTGCATTCACGTATTTGGTTCGGAGGAGAGTGATAGTTGTACAATGCAGCGAAACGGAGGCATCGTTGGGAACGGTGGCCAGCCATGGGTACTGAGGCGAGTACGGCTCACCTGGCTCAGTTTCATGCTCTTCTTCATCCTGGTCTTCTTCCCTCTCATTGCACATTACTACCTCACCACAATAGATGAAGCAGGAGGACCAGATAAGCGAATCTTTGGCCCAAGACCTGGAGGAGAGCTGTGTGAAGCGAAGCATGTGCAAGATCTTTGTCGTATACGGGAATCTGTCAGTGAAGAGCTACTTCAGCTTGAGGCAAAGCGTCAAGAGCTTAATGGCGAGATAGCCCGACTTAACCTACGCATCGAGGCCTGCAAACGTAGTATCGACAGTGCCAAACAGGACTTGCTACAACTCAAAAATGTCATCAGCCAGACTGAGCACTCTTACAAGGAACTTATGGCACAAAACCAGCCAAAATTGTCATTGCCGGTTAGGCTTTTACCAGACAAGGATGATCCTGGTTATCCTCCTCCAAAGTCACCCCAAAGCTGTAGATTGCATTCTTGTTTTGATTACGCTAGATGTCCCCTTACATCGGGCTTCCCTGTCTATGTTTATGACACAGGATCATACCCTTGGGGTGAAAAGTTGGACCCTCTTGTCAAACAAGCTTTTGCATCATCCGTCAAAAGCAGTGTATATGTGACCGATAATCCAAACATTGCTTGTCTGTACATAGCTCTTGTTGGGGAAATACAAGAATCACCCTCCTCTCCGCTTGCTTCACCTTCAGACCTTGAAAAACAGCTCAAGGCTTTGCCGTATTGGAGGTCGGATGGTCACAACCACCTGCTTGTACACCTTTCTATAAATTCTCTGACACAGAACTTCCTCTATAATGTGAGCACGGGACGAGCAGCAGTAGCACAGTCTACCTTTTTTGAACGACAGTATAGAGAAGGTTTTGACTTGGTGGTGTCTCCACTAGTCCATGCTCTGTCTGAGCCTAACTTCTTGGAGGTTCCTCCGCAAGTCCCAGTTAAGAGGAAGTACCTCTTTACCTTTCAGGGAGAAAAAGTTGAGTCTTTGAGAAGCAGTTTGCTTGAAGCCCCTCCACAATCCTTTGAGGAGGAAATGGAAGGGGATCCACCAGCAGACTATGATGATCGAATCATTGGCACACTTAAAGCTGTACAGGACAGTCACCTAGACCAGGTTCTTGTGGAGTTTACTTGCAAGAATCAAGCCAAGCCAAGTTTACCAACAGAGTGGGCATTGTGTGGCAAGCGTGAGGATCGTTTAGAGGTACTGAAAGTCTCTACATTTGCCTTGGTAATATCTCCAGGTGATGGACAGCTGGTGGCATCTGCTGGCTGTAGCATGAGACTTTTTGAGGCTTTGGAAGTTGGGGCAATACCTGTGGTACTTGGTGACCACTCAAAGTTACCCTACCATCATCTCATACGCTGGAGTGAAGCAGTCATAATGGTGCCAAAACCCCGCATTACGGAACTACACTTTCTGTTGCGTAGCATCTCAGACAATGATCTTCTTGCTATGCGGCGACAAGGACGGTTTCTTTGGGAAACATATTTCTCCACTTCAGAAAGCATCTTCAATACCATTTTGGCTAGTGTACGTACCAGCATCCAGATCCCAGCAGCACCCATACGTGAAGAACCTGCTCAGGAGATTCCCCACAAAGCTGGAAAGTTGGCCGGGACCGATGCTAACCTGGCCGACAATGGTGACTTAGATCTTGGGCCTGTTGAAGTAGAGCCCCCTTACGCTTCGCCCCGTTTCTTGCGTAACTTCACCTACACTGCTGCTGATGTCTACCGCACATGGAATCGTGCACCTGGCCCTTTCCATCTATTCCCACACACTCCCCTGGACCCTGTACTTCCCTCAGAGGCCAAGTTTTTGGGGTCAGGAACTGGTTTTCGCCCAATCGGTGGAGGTTCTGGTGGATCTGGTAAAGAGTTCCAGGCCGCTCTTGGTGGTAACGTCCCACGGGAGCAGTTCACAGTGGTCATGCTCACTTATGAACGAGAGGAGGTTCTTATGAACTCACTGGAGAGACTAAATGGCCTTCCTTATCTCAACAAAGTGGTAGTGGTGTGGAATTCCCCCAAACCACCATCAGATGATCTCCTTTGGCCAGATATTGGTCTGCCTATTGTGGTAAGCGTACAGTATTTTTTTAAAAATAGTTTTTATGATTTACTCTCTATTTACTCGTCCTCAAATGGTTCCATATTCTGAAGTACGCTGAAAGCATTTCATTTTTGGGTGAACTATCCCTTTAATGCATGGGACTCTAGCGTCACTGTGGCAAGTTTTCCACAGCCAGGCACCACTTGCTGAAGAAAAAAAAGAAATCTTGTTAAGCTTGTTATTAGCTGGAATTCTCAAAGGCTTAAATATGATAGAACCTCCCAAGCATTGCATTCTGCTGTAGATTTGGCCTGCTCTCTCTGCTGTCTTTGAAGCGTAGCTTTCATGTCTCTAGGGCAGCAAGCCAAATTAGTTCTGGTGATATTAAAGGAAACAGTGCTGTATTAGTCCCATAGAAAGGTTATACTTTGAAATGAAAACCCAAATAGAATGCTGAAGTACCCCAAGTTTCTTACAGCTTCTTCTTTGAGAAGTAGCCTGGCACTTGAAAATTGAGTATCTTTAATTATGAAGAGAAAGTTGTGTTAAAACTAGAAGCTTTTTTGGTTTTCAAAGCTAGTCATATGTTTTTATTTGATGTATTTTGAATTCATAAGGCTTTTATGTAATTCGCTGGCCCAGTGAAATCTTTTTGTAATGGCATGTTGTTCACAATATGGCGTGTTGACTCAACAGATGGCCTTTTCTCTGCAGGTGGTACGCACAGGGAAGAACAGCTTAAACAATCGCTTCCTTCCCTGGGATGCAATCGAGACTGAGGCTATTTTGTCTATTGACGATGATGCCCATCTTCGACATGATGAAATCATGTTTGGCTTCAGGTAAGGTGTTTTTTGAAGCAATAATTTAGCATAAATTTGAATGCTAGATTTTTTTTTTTCTTAAAGCAATGATCAGTCAGTCAGTGTATAGGCAAGGCTGTGGCTGAAGGCGGATTCAACCTGGTTGGACTGGACTCTTGAAATTTCTAATTACTTAATCCTAATGATCTGAGTGATCTATTAGGTTTGCATATCTGTAATGTATTGAGCTCTAAGGCCATAAGAGATTTGTAGACAAGTAGTAGTACTTTCAAATCTATTCCAAATGTAACTGGGAGCCAGTGTAAAGACCTGAGGACAGGTCTGATGTGCTCTGATTTTCTGGTTTTGGTGAGAATCCTGGCGGCAGTGTTTTGGATGAGCTGCAACTTTCTGACTGTCTTTTTGGAAAGGCCAATGAGGATGGCGTTACAGTAATCCACCCTGCTGCTGATAAAAGCATGAACAAGTTTCTCCCTGAAAACAAAGCATCTAATTCCTGCAATGTTTTTAAGATGATTGTATGCTGATTTGGTTACTGCTTTGACGTGACTACTGACACTCATCTGACTCCAGAATCACACCAAAATTCTTGACCTTATTTTTTGTTGCTTGACCCCTAGAGCCAAGGTACATACACTGAATATTATCTTAAATTGTAAATTGTACTAAGTCCGTCTGCTCATATGTTTAAAAGCTCATCTTTAATATAGAATAGTGCCTGTGATGCAATGGCTCCAGTATTTTTGCTCCTTTTGCAATGTTATGCTGTTTCATTTCTATCCTTTATATTATCCGAAAAGAATGTGAAACATTTTTAATGAAAACAGCACCTCCCATGATGTCACTGCTTTGGGCTGAAGTATGTTTAGAAATAATAAATTCAGATTTATGGAGCTAGAAAAGCTAAATATTTCTGTTGGACAGATGATCTGTATTTTTCACCTCAGTCGGTACGTTTTAGGAATATCAGGTTTTTTAATTTGCACATTTGTATGCCAATTTAAATGTTTTTGAGCGGTTGTCGTGTGTTCCTTCAGGGTTTATGCATTGGGTCATGTGATGGTGAGAGTTTAAGCCAACAGCTGCAGATTTAGTTTTTAGTTTGTGGAATTGGAAGCATCTGATCTGATAAAACTCATGTCTTTCCCTACTGTGTACCTCAGTGTTTACAGTGCTTGAAGGTTCAGACGTTGGCAAGATGACCTGATGGGGGATTTGATTTTGGTTTAGCTTGGTTTGTTTGTCTGGATCTGTTTGTTTTGAAGTAAAAATAGTCAAGTCAGTAATCTTTATTTGTTGAACACTGATATTGCTCTATAGTACATTTAGAAATGTTGTAGAATTGGTTTTATTATTCTTACGTATCTATTATAATGTAGTAAAATGTAATTGGATCTTGCTGCAAAAGTCAGGTTTACACTTCATAATAATAATTCCTTACATTTATATAAAGCTTTTCTGGGCACTCAAATCACTTTACACATAGGGGGGAATCTCCTCATCCACCACCAGTGTGCAGCATCCACCTGGATGACCAGATGGCAGTCATATTGCGCCAGACGCACCAGCTGATTATTAAAGAGGAGACTTAAGCTGCGCCCCAAATCGCATACTTATGAACTATTCTACGCCATTTTGTAGTATCAATAGTGTAAGTAGTGCGTTCACACTGAAAATTCTAAAAATAATGATGGACACTTCACGCACTCAACGACCACAGGTTTGCTCACGTAGCGGAAGGGGCGGAGCTATCGGACGCACATGTTGAATAACTTCATTTATTTTGGATGGTGAAAGCAAAATTCTCCTACGAGAGTGATTATAGCGCCTCCCGATGGTGAATGCGGTTACACTCACGGCAGGTATTATTTGATAATTCGGTCGTTTATTTCACTGATTTGGCGACGGTCAAACGTCATCAAGGAAACGGTTTGAATTTCCGCTTGGTAAAAAAACATTAGTGTGCCATTTGGGACGACACTGCATACCTATACTATCCTGTTGAGTGTGTAAGTGCATAAGTACATAGTGCATGAGTGCATAGTGTATAGTGTGCCATTTGAGACGCAGCTAGAGTGATGAAGCCAATTATGATATGGGGAGTGTTAGGAGGCCATGATGGGCAGAGGCCAATGGGCAGATTTGGCCAGGATGCCGGGGTTAAACCCCTACTCTTTTTCGAAGGACATCCTGGGATTTGTAACGACCACAGAGAGTCAGGACCTCGATTGTTATAATAATACAACTGCTGTGTTTTTGTCAATACACCCACACGTGAACAATTCAAAATTCAGGTTTACACAAAGTCCAAAATGTTTTAATCTCATCATTCAGCCTATTACAGTCAAGTAACGATACAAGTCACAATACCATAAAAACAAACATCCTGTAAGATTCAAAACTGTACATTATTAGTTAACTACATTAATAACTATGATGGTTGGGTTTAAGGCTGTGGTAGGTGTAGATGTTAACAACTATGTTGGGTTTAGGGTTGTGGTTGGTTTAGACATTAATAACTATGATGATTGGTTTAGGTTTGTGGAAGGTGTGGACGTTATTAACTGGTTGTTGGGTTTAGGGTTGAGAAGGTGTAGATGTCAATAATGATGATGGTTGGGTTTTGGGTTGTGGAAGGTGTAATGTTAAAAACTGTGATGGTTGGGTTTAGGGTTGGGGATCTTGTAGACATTAATAACTGATGGTTAGGTTTAGGGTTGGGGAAGGTGTAGACGTTAATAACGATGAGGGTTAGGGTTGGGGAAGGTGTAGATGGTAATAAATATGATGGTTGGGACTAGGGTTGGGAAAGGTGTAGACGTTAATAACGGTGAAGGTTGGGTTTAGGGTTGGGGAAGGTTAAGACGTTAATAACTGTAATGGTTGGGGAAGGTTTAGACGTTAATAACTTTAATGGTTGGGTTTAGGGTTGGGGAAGGTATAGACTTTAATAACGATCATGGTTGGGTTTTGGGTTGTGGTATGTATAAATGTTAATAAATATGATGGTTGGGTTTAGGGTTGGGGAAGGTATAGATGTTTATAAATGTGATGGTTGGGTTTAGGGTTGGGGAAGGTATAGATGTTTATAAATGTGATGGTTGGGTTAAGATTTGGGGAAGGTGTAGACGTTAATAACTGTGATGGTTGGGACTAGGGTTGGTGAAGGTGTAGACGTTAATAACGATGAGGGTTGGGGAAGGTGTAGACGTTAATAGCGATAAGGGTTGGGGGGTTAGGGTTGGGGAAGGTGTAGATGTTAATAACTATGATGGTTGGGGAAGGTGTAGACGTTAATAGCGATAAGGGTTGGGGGGTTAGGGTTGGGGAAGGTGTAGATGTTAATAACTATGATGGTTGGGGAAGGTGTAGACGTTAATAGCGATAAGGGTTGGGGGGTTAGGGTTGGGGAAGGTGTAGATGTTAATAACTATGATGGTTGGGGAAGGTGTAGACGTTAATAACGAGAAAGGTTGGGGTTTAGGGTTGGGGAAGGTGTAGGAGTTAATAACTGTGATGGTTGGGACTAGGGTTGGGGAAGGTGTAGACATTAATATCGATGAGGGTTGGGTTAGGATTGGCATAAGTGTAGACATTAATATCTGTGATGTTTGGGTCTAGGGTTGGGGAAGGTGTAGATGATAATAACGATGAGGGTTAGGGAAGGTGTAGACAGTAATTGTGATGGTTGGGTTTAGGTTGGGGTAGGTGTAGACGTTAATAACTGTGGTTGGGTTTAGGGTTGGGGAAGGTTAAGACGTTAATAACTGTAATGGTTGGGGTTGGGGAAGGTTTAGACGTTAATAACTTTAATGGTTGGGTTTAGGGTTGGGGAAGGTATAGACTTTAATAACGATCATGGTTGGGTTTTGGGTTGTGGTAGGTATAAATGTTTATAAATATGATGGTTGGGTTTAGGGTTGGGGAAGGTATAGATGTTTATAAATGTGATGGTTGGGTTTAGGGTTGGGGAAGGTATAGATGTTTATAAATGTGATGGTTGGGTTAAGATTTGGGGAAGGTGTAGACGTTAATAACTGTGATGGTTGGTACTAGGGTTGGTAAAGGTGTAGACTTTGATAACGATGAGGGTTGGGGAAGGTGTAGACGTTAATAACGATAAAGGTTGGGGTTTAGGTTTGGGGAAGGTGTAGGAGTTAATAACTGTGATTGTTGGGACTAGGGTTGGGGAAGGTGTACACATTAATATCGATGAGGGTTGGGGTTTAGGGTTGGGGAAGGTGTAGACGTTAATATCTGTGATGGTTGGGACTAGGTTTGGGGAAGGTGTAGATGTTAATAATGATGAGGGTTGGGGAAGGTGTAGACATTAATAACTGTAATGGTTGGGTTTAGGTTTGGGGAAGGTGTAGATGTTAATAACTGATGGCTGGGTTAAGTGTGGAGTAGGTGTTGAATTTAATAACTGATGTATACAGCACCATCTTGACGACAACATATTTTTGACAAGGGGGTATCCATAGCTTCAAGTTACACCCCGCTCATGTTGCAGTCCACAGACAGAAACTTCTCGCTGCCAACAGTTTTTATCATTATTGATCAAATAACAAAAGACGAGCACAAAATCACTCTCTGCTCTCGACTGATGGACTTTTGTAGCTTTAATAAAAAAACAAATCTAGTTTAATTCTCACAGTGAAGATACCTTAAAGCTCAGTTTCGTTTTTATTTACTATATTTATTTACTCTATTCGTCTTTATTTACTCATTGTTTTTCTTTTCTTTTTATTCTGTGGACCCCTTTGACTGTTAATCGTCATGTTTAATGGTCATCATAGTTTACATTTCTTAATAACTAGATTTTTTAAAACATGTAATTTTTTTCTATTTACATATGTATTACATCATCTTTGCATCAAATCACAAAAAAACAAATAACCGTCTGTGTAAGGTGTTTGTAATGCTGTGTTTATGGGGGCAGGACAGTAAATTTGACGTTATTCTCTCTTCTGTTTGCTGTAATCAGTCTCGCACTATTTATTTATTTATTTTTTTTTTTTTCTGAAAGTCTTGATAACACCATCGTGGAGATTTTCTTTTATTATTTCAGCAATAGAATTTAAAAAAAAAAGATTTGTTAACTATGACGACTTCAGCTACTGAGAAACCCAGAAATGTGGCTCAACTGAATTTATTTCCTTTCCATAATTGTGAAATGTTTTTGTTAGTTTGTCCCGTTCTGCTTCAGTGTAAAAAAACTAGGTCATACTTTATTTTAATGGTCCGTTTATTGAATTTAAGTTACATTGCATCTGCATGACAACTAATTCTCTAGATTATAAGTAAACTGTTCGGTTGGGGTTAGGGTTGATGTTAGGGTTAGTAAGTTGACATGTACTTGCTAAGTTTCTTATAGTGAGTTAAATGTCTGTTGAAGGAGCAGAATCAACAGATATGAAGCAGACAGTATACTAATACTCAAATTGACCATCAAAATAAAGTGTTGCCAAAAACTACATATGCTTTTTGGCCAACTGATAATCCTTTAAAATAATCATGATTACAATTATGACCACAATAATTTTGATTTAAATTTTTCTCATAATTGAGCAGCCCTAATGAGTATTATAATAACCACTGATCCTTCACTTAGGTCTTTTTCTTTCTCTGTGCTCAGAGTGTGGAGGGAGGCGAGAGACCGGATCGTGGGCTTTCCGGGAAGGTTTCACGCCTGGGATTTAAATCACCAATCTTGGCTCTACAACTCCAACTACTCCTGCGAGCTCTCCATGGTGCTGACGGGTGCGGCCTTCTTCCACAAGGTGAAACTGTGACCGCTTTCACACTTCCAGAGCACGATTATGTCAAAAATAGACCCTGAGCTTTTGTAGTTTTACCCAAGTAACCTCAGGTAATCGGGCCAGGAATTGGTTTAGTTGGTTAAAACTGGTAATGCTGTATTGCTGTCCAAGGCATAACTTTCCAGATAATAAGCTAACAGAACAATGTGTTTTATTTAGGGCTGCATGATATTGGACAAAAAAACGGATGTTGCAATGTTTAGCTTTTGCTGCGATTTATGTTGCGATATAAATTAGGTCATCTTGTAAAATTATATTCGTTTTTCAATATCATTCAGCCCTTGTCATGATTAATTTCAAGTGATTTTTTTAAATATAATTTTTAAATTAAAACTCACAATTTCTTCATCTCCTCAGTATTACGCGTATCTCTATTCCTACGTCATGCCTCGAGCCATCCGAGACATGGTGGATGAGTACATCAACTGTGAGGATATCGCCATGAACTTCCTGGTGTCGCATATCACTCGCAAACCCCCAATCAAGGTCAGTGGGCTGCTACATGATGCACATTTAGAAACTTAACTTCATTTAAAACTTGTGTGAATTCAGTTCATTGCTATTTGAGTCAATAATGCTTATCATACAGTAAGTTATTGGTATCAGCTGGTTTTTGTTATGGTCATTCTTGGTGATCCTGGTTCAAGTCTTATTGTCCCAAATCATTTCTCCTCTGTCAAAATTTCAGCATTTAAAATGGCCTCATTGTTGTCAATAATGCAGCATAATGCATTTAATTATCTGACTACATTGTATTTTTCAGTAACATATAAATGTATACAGCCAGACATATCAAACTATATATGAAGAGTTACAAAACAGATACAAAACCCTCTAAATCCATCAGACCTATTTTCTTGTAATTGAGCATTTTCTATCAGGCTCTTTTGATTAGGTTCAGAAGTTTCATTTAATAGATAATGAAAAGTTTTTTAGCCAGTAAATAAAATACCTTTTTTTCCCAAAATGTCACTTTAGACCACAGATGTTAAATCCATCTCCTGGAGGGCCGCAGCTCTGCACATTTTAGCTTTAACTGTAATTAAACACACCTGTTTAAACTAACTGAGTCTTTCAGGCTTGTTTAAAACCTACAGGTAGGTAAGTGTGTTGAAGCAGGGCTGGAACTAAGCTGTGCAGGACTGCGGCCCTCCATTAACTAGGTTTGACACCTATGCTTTAGACCAGGGGTGGCCAACCCTGTTCCTGGAGAGCCACCTTCCTGCAGATTTTAGTTGTTACCCATATCAAACACACCTGCCTGTAATTATCATGTGGTGTTCAGGTACTAATTAATTGGCTCAGGTGTGTTTGATATGGGTAGCAACTGAAATCTGCAGGAAGGTGGCTCTCCAGGAAAAGGTTTGGCCACCCCTGCTTTAGACAATTCTTGGGTTTTTAACAAGGTAAATTTTCTTTTGTGTCAAAACCAGCTAAATCCACTTCTGCTTTTGTAGCAAAAACCTCTAAATCCACCTATGGGGACAAGACAGTGTAATAAGTTTTAAAAAATCACTAAAGATGCAATTAGAAATTATTTTATTTTACTCAACACCTAAAATTAAAAACACATAAATCTCTCAAGTAAGTGGCGGTTCATTCCACTGTGATAAACCAGGGAACAAGCAGAAGGAAAATGAATGAATGAAATCTGCCAAGTGCATTAATCAATTACATTAAAAGTGACATTGATTAAATCTTAACAATCTGTTGTCATTTCTGATATTTGGGGTTTAGATTTAAAATGTAAACAATGTAAGCTAAGCTTGGTAGATTCAAATAATGTTGTGAAAAAACATTGAGAAACATCAGTATCTGTGCATTGTCCAATAATATAAAAAGCTTATCTGACATAAAGGTATTATGAAGTACAATAAATAATGTAGAGCTTTATACATTATATTTATCTTTTAAGAATTGCTTAAATTAGCAAATAAAACACAAGGTAGACCTACTGGGCAAAAAGGGGATGTCTCTCAGACAATTTTAGAAAGCTGCCATTCATTCATTCACATCATACTCAAGTTCTTGGTCTCTTGTTTATCCTCAAAGCATCTACTTGGGATAAAAGAATAGCATCTTAACTCTGTCTCTTGTGAAACGCAGTTGGCGTTTAATGTATAGTAAATCGGACTCATTCAAAGTAGCACCGCTGCGCAAAAAAAACATTATGAATGCATGCTACTAGGGATGTAACGGTATTGTAAATACCGTCATACCGCAATATTAATTTTTTTTGATATTACCGAAGTCGCATGACTCGGTAAAACTATAGGTCTTCTGAGAAAATTTGCTCAGGCGAATGAAGCGAACGGGAGGTAGCGAAAACTACAATTGCCATCAGCCCATGCTTGACCATCAGCCCTTGCGGTCTGTTGTCGCTACAGATCCAGTAATGCGGAAATGGAGTGTGCTGCTAGAAGCGGGGATGAAAAGAGCTGGAAAACTCTAAGGCCCCGTTAACACTAATGCGTTTTAGTTTGAAAACGCATAAGTTTTGCTACGGTTACGCCAACCGTCCACACTACGCCGGAGTTCTCGAGCGCCGAAAACGGAGCGTTTTGAAAACGCTGGAGAGGCCGTTTTCATTCTGAATCGCTGCTCCTCCGTCTCATTGTGGATGATGGAAAACGGAGACATCTGAAAACGGAGGCGGGGCTGCAGACGTTTGCCTCTCTGATTGGGGCTTTTCCTGAATATTAAGTAGCCTAACACGCACAGTTAAGTCCTGCATTCTCTCCGTGTAAGTTCAGACTTCGCAAGTTTTATCAAGGCTGCAGTCTCTTCTTCTCAGTTTGATATGGAAAAGCAGACTATACCGAGGACACGGGTAAATCTTCAAAGGGAACAGTGTACTTTATAACTTCATTCACATCACCCTGGCTTCGTTGTTTCACTTTATCAACAATAAAATGTAAACATGATTTAAGGAACTGCCTATTTTCATTTTAATATTAGCAACTTGGACAGCAGAAATGTTGAGGCGTCTTGCTGCATAAGATGAGCGTCATCTTCACTGTGTGGATATTTGTAACAAAACGGAGCCGATAACAACTGCCTCCTTTCAATTTCAGTGAAAATACGAAACATAGCCTCTCTTTTGCTGAGTATCAGTTTTAAGAATCGATAATGGTCATTTTAAAAGTATAACATACAATAAGTTTATACATTATAGGAAATAAAGGCAAGCGATCAGTCAATATACAGAATGTACGTGGTTACATTAATCATTAACGTTAACTTATCTTTGCGCTCAGCCAAAACACGTTACCTGAGAACAAGTAATAGATTCCAATGCCCAAAGTCAGGGAATATGTCGTTAGATAAAGACAACAAGATAAATGAAATATCCCGTTTAATAAATATAGTGAGATTAGATCCAGCGGGAGATGCTTGATGAGAAGTCCGACTAGCAGAGCTCTCATCTGGGTAGATAGGCTGAGTGTGATTAAATGTTGAATGTGATGAGTTTTCAACAATACTAAATTGAAACTTTATTTTTTTACATGGTTTAATAATTTTTTGTTATTAAAATTGAAGTTCCTGTTTCAAAGCTTACAGATAGATGGCTAATTTGTATGTCATTGACACTTTTGGCACTTTTTTGGAGTATTTTCATAAGTTTTGTTTTTTCCTGTAAATGATTCAATAAATACCGTACCGTGACATTCATACCGAGGTATTACCATACCATGAAATTCTGATACCGTTACATCCCTACATGCTACACTTCCGACTGTACATTGTTTTTTCATTTCCTTGTAATGCACAAAGTTTTAGGGTAGGGGACATTTTCATTTGCCAATCCCTGACAGTTGGACAGGCTCATCTAGTTCATCAAACTCCGTCTTTAAAAATCGAAATAAAACTTCTCATAAAGCCGGCATGTCAGCGTGTTGCTACATTGAAAACATATGATTCGATTCGCGATTGGTTCTAGGGATATAGCAGATTTTGCTGTCAAAGGCAGGTGGCATTTAGAGGCCTTTGCCAACAAACTGTTACTTCTGAATGCGCTGACGCTGGGGTTTAGATGATTTGGAGCAAAAATATTTGTTGAACGTATTACGTGCCTAAAGAATTCGCTCAGTGTCATTATGTCATTTTTGGCAGAAGTGGCGTTTAGAAGAGTATATATATATATATATATATATATATATATATATATATATATATATATATATATATATATATATATATATATATATATATACATATATACATATATACATATATGAAGAGTATATATATATATATATATATATATATATATATATATATATATATATATATATATATATATATATATATATATGAGCAATATCACACTCGTAGCAGTGCAATATGGCTGTATATCGGCACTGGTGGGAGCCGTGCGTTGGCACGAGGCTGCAGGCCGAGTGCCTCAGTGCCTCCACCAGTGCGATACACAGCCATATCGCACTGCTATTCATGTGATATTGCGTTTATACAACAGTTTGACGGCATAATAGTGTATATAAAAACTAAATCAAACATGGAGAGCCTCAAAAACCCTCTTGTATGACTAACTACTTTATTCCAGATTCAAATCATAAGCTGACAGTTAAACAGCTGAGCGTGCATCTTTTAAACTTTAGGTCTGTAGTGTCTGCTTTTTGCTGGCTGTATGTGGGCGGAGTAATACACAAAGGGTAAAGAGGCTGTAGGAGTTCTGAAATTGCAGAATATCGCACGGCTATCAGCCAATCAGATTTGAGAACCAGACAGAACTGATGTATAAATATATATATATATATATATATATATATATATATATATATATATATATATATATATACATATATACATATATATATATACATATATATATATATACATATATATATATATATACATATACATATGTACGTATACGTATACATATATACCAATATGGCAAAGCAGTGGCGCTGTAGATAGTGCTGTCGCCTCACAGCAAGATGGTCACTGGTTCGATCCTCTGCTCACTTGGCGTTTCTGTGTGGAGTTTGCATGTTCTCCCTGCGTTCGCATGGGTTTTCTCCGGGTGCTCCAGTTTCCCCCGCAGTCCAAAGACATGTGGTACAGGTGAATTGGGTAGGCTAAATTGTCCGTAGTGTATAAGTGTGTGTGTGAATGTGTATGTGGATGTTTCCCAGAAATGGGTTGTGGCTGGAAGGACATCCATTGCGTAAAAAACTGGCTGGATAATTTGTCGGTTCATTTCCCTGTGGCGACCCCGGATTAATAAAGGGACTCAGCTGACCAGAAAATTAATGAATGAATGAAAATGCCAATATCCGATGGCTAGAAAGTGATACATTTTGTTTTATAAATTGTTCAAATATTGGTGTCTGTTATGCAGCAAGGCCAGAGACTTTCGTGAACACCATGATTTTATATCAAATCCACTTTAATGTTTGATATGACTAAAAAGCGGTCATACGCTAATATTTTCTCAGTTTAAATTAGCAACAGCTTGGACC